GGGTGCGGTCGATAGCCGGAGGGGGCGTGGCGGCGCGTGGCGCCCGCGCCCGGGGGGTTGGCGGGGTTGGCGGGGCGCCCGGAGTGACGTCGGCGACCTTGGGCCGAGGGTTGGGGGCTGGCTGGGGGCTGGCGGGGGCTGTCTGACGTCACCGCCACGAGCGGCGCGCGGCGCGCCCAAGGCGAGGAAGGACGCCGGCCGGCGGGACGCCCACGCCAGCGCCCCGGAAACGGAGAGACACCAGCCACCGCCAGCGACGGAGACGGGGATGGGGAGGGCCAAGGGGTGGGGGAAAGTGTCGCGGGAAGAGAGTCAACAAACTCGGACCAAGCCAGACCACCCGCCGGCAGACAGGTGGCGCCCCCGCGTTTCCGGTCTCTTCCGGCACCAATTTCCGGCTTTCCGGTTGCCGCTGCGGTCGGCGAGGGTGGCTGCCTGGTGGCTGCCGTCGGGGCAGCGGGGCACCGCCAGCGAAAACAATGAAGCACAAATTGCATTGCGCGGTTTTAACGCTGACGGCCCTCCTGCTGAACCCCCGGCCCGAGACAAACTTCTGAGGCCGAAACTCTAGGCAGTGGGGGCGACCGCAGCCCGGGCTTACAGGCCACACAATGCTGCCCCCGCAGTGTCCACCCCGGCCCGTCGCTCGGGACAAAAGACTCGTGGAATCACGCCCACCCCCACCGCCACGCCGCCCCCGCCGCCCCCGCCCGGTGTGTTCCCAGGCCGCAGAGGCGCGCGCTAATCCGAGCAGCCCCTGCGACAGCGACCCCACGTCGGCGAGACCGCGGACGCCACGAGGATCGCCCGGAAAGCGCGCGGCCACACCGTGTAGGCCGCCCCCGTACGGCATACCTGGAGGCGCGGCGGCGCGGCGACGCGTGGGCCAGGGGTGGGGGTGGCGCGTGACGTCACCAGAGCAATGACGCCAATGGCATCCCCCGCAGCCCAGCGGCCCAGCGGCCCAGCCTCCCGGCCGGCTCACTTTCCTTGCCAGCTGTTCTGAGGCCGAGGCCCAGCCCGCCCACCCGGCGCGGCGGCGCGGCGGCAACACCCCGCCCGGGACTCGAACCCGGGACCGCCGCGCCGCGCCCTCCCTCGGGGCGGATTCGGGGAGTATCCGGCTCCACAAGCTCCACAAGCAGCGTTCCTTCCGGAGCTGCCGTCGGGGGATCAGAGGCAGATTGCTTCCACTCGGGGGAGGTTTACAGGGTTACGGCGGGGAGGGTTACCGGGGGCTCAGGGCGACGTGACGAAAAACTCTCCCAGACTTTCAGGCAGCCTGGGTCCGGTCAAGCACCCCGTGGCCGCCCTAGTGTCCCTGACGCGTGGGGCACGCGGGGCCAGGCGGGGCCTGAGAGGACCGACGACGGGCACCTCGAGGTTCGATCACACCAGCGTCGCGGCGGGCATCGGGGCGGGCAGCGCGGCGGGCAATCCGTTCCCTTGGCCCACGCCCAACCGCACGCCGACCAGCCCGACGACATGAACGCCCCCTTCCGCGTGACGGCCGTCCACTTACAGTGCACACCCTCCTCCCCCGTGCCGCCGTCGGCGCGCGCGGCGGAGTGGCGGCACGGAGACGCGAAGGGAACGGGAAAAAATGCAATCGGCACACAAACAAACAAAAGAAAGCACGGCGAAAGGGCGCGCGGCGCGGCGCGGTAGGCAGCGCGACGGCCGATCCGAGATCCGAGAGGTCTCCGCGGTATATTTCAGGCCTCGGTCCGCGCTCCGCACCGCAGTCAAGCCAGCCACCGCCAGCTTGGCGGCGTGCCATGGTCACCCCATCGGCCGAGCCATCGGCTGCCATTCACGCCGCCGTCGTTTCCGAAGACGCGCCGCGTGGCGCCGCCAGCGCAGCCTGCACCTGGACGACGTGGACGGTCCGCCGCGGTGGTCGATGCGGCGCCCCGAGGCTCGTCCAGCAGGCCGACGACGCCCTGCGTCTATGAGCGCGAGAAGAGACGCGACAGCGCCCCGGCCATGTCCACTGCCGTGCCGCGGCGCCGCGGCCTGCACATGCAAGGCTGGAAATAGTGGGCGAACTATTCCGGGCCGCCCCGTCGCGCGAGTCCTGGTGATTGACGGAGTCGTCTGCCCGGAATAGCTCGGCCGGACCCACCCCCGCAACCACTCACCCGCAGGAATGCCACTCCCCGCACCGCGGGCCTCGGCACGGACACGGACTTCCAGTGGGGGTCGCTCGCCGCGCCACTGCAAAGGCCCCTCTCGCACCGCACAAGCCACACAAGCGAGTCATACTGGCGGCCGCTACCGGTGGCGGTGCTGCACTGAGCACTCCTCGGCCACCGGTCCCTAGCCGCACCTCGTGCTCGCACTCGTGACACCCGGTGGACCCAGTGACGCCGGGCATGTGATGCTCACCGGGTTTGGCAGCGCTCAGCGCTACCTGTGTGCTCCGCCGTGTGTGTGTGACTTCATACACTCGTGACTTCACTCGTGGCTCCACCGTGTGGCTGCTGGCAGGGCCCGCGCACTCACACACCGCCAACCCGGTGCACCGCGCCAAAGAATGCACGGGTCCTCAGCCCCGCCGCTGGGGTGGCCGTCCCCGCGAGTGCGACAGAGAGGACCCGACCCAGCTTGAGCGGGATCGACTGTGACGAGGCTCGGCGAACCGTACCGCCTCGCATGCCAAACCGAGCCGTCAGACCGTCACGAGCACCTCGCTGCTCTACAAGACCGTGTTTACACACCCGCCGGGGCGGCGTCCGCGGCGTCCGCGGCGCATCGGTACCCACGACGACGTACCGTACCCGTGGTCCCGGCCGCCGCCGCCAGGGGCGCTGCGCGCTGCGTGCGGGATGCGCGACTGCGCGACCTACATATCGACTCGTCGATACATCGATACATCGATATCACGGCAAGTTGGCCGGGGCAGCGGAAACCGAAGCGAAGCGCCTTCAGCTCCAACCGCAGCATTAAACATTTACCGCGAGAGGTCGTTGTTGTTTCGCCCGGCCCGGCCGCCCCGAGTACACGCCCAGCAGGATGATTCCGAGAGTCGCTTCCGTCGCTCTGTCTCTCTCGCACTCATGGGGCGTCTCCTATAGGTGCGACAGAGACAGGGCGACGACTCTCGGAATCAGTCTGCAGCATGCCCTCACGCCGCCAGGCGGTACGCGGTCGGACACTGCCGACAAGTTATTTGGATTCTGGGTTTGGAAGTGCGTTTGAAACCAGCAAACCCGGACAGGGCGCTGGCAGTTCAGTTTTTCGCCCGACGGTAACGAGTAAGTGGCGCTGTGGAGGAGCTTCGAGCTTCGAGCCGGCCGTCACGGCAATCTGAGACACGCGGCGGCGACACCTCGGCGACGACACCGCCGCGACGCCCTGGCAGGCGATGGCGCAGAACCGCTTCGTCGCTCTGACTCTCTCGCACCCCTACGGGACGACCTGCGAGAGCGACAGAGACAGAGAGACTGTCTGCGGGGCGTCGCGACGCCTCGGTGATTGCAGATACCCGCGCCGCGCGCCGTCCCGGTCTGGACCCGGTCGCCTCGAGAGGATGAGGGACTCTAGGAGCGCGGCCGGCGCGGCGGGCTGCGCCGGGGATCAGCCTGCAGGGGAGTAAAGGCGGAGCAGGCGGAGCGGGATCAACAATGGGGATCAGGATTTAGGAGAGGAGCTCCCCCGGGAGGCTGGCGAGGCTGGGAACGGGGACGGCCACGCGGGCGGCGGCCCCGCAGCGGCCACACAAGGGCGCTTGGCTTCCTCTACGCTTCCGCCACCACGGCGCCGACATTTTGCTCCGACGGCCGCAGCCTGGTTTATGCGCTGCTCCGCGTTTTCCGAAAGCGAACTAATAGCGAACACGTTTAACGTCCCGGCCAACCTGCCTGCCTTGCACAAATAGTGCGCGCGGAGGACGCCGGAGAAAGAGAGAGAGAGAGAGGTTTACCGGCTATTCACCGAGATACCGATAAATTCATTAGAGACACCCATTGAACCCGGCCCAGCCCAGCCGAGCCGAGTCGGGCTTGTCACTGTGAGTTAGAACCAGTCGGTGGCGGCGCGTAGCGTCTCGCCAGTGTAGCGGCAAGGCGGCAAGGCAAGGCGGCGCGGCAAGGCACCGAGGCAGTGCGCGGATCCGCACGCCGATGAAGTAGTGCTCAGGGTCGGGAATTTTATTTTTCAGCGCGCGGAGCGTTGCGACTGCGACCCGTCCGCCGACCCGTCCGCCGACCCGTCCGCCGACCCGTCCGCCGACCCGTCCGCCGACCCGTCGACCGACCCGCAAGACGGGCGACAAAGTCGAACTCGGCGGCGATATTTCAAGGCGAGAAAATCCCCGATCGGCAAACACAGAGAACCCACAAGGACAATAAAAAATGCATTCATCGAGGTCCTGGGGAAGAAAACAGGGGGGACACTGCGCAGAATCACTCAAAGCTGCAGTGGTATACAAAATTGGCACAACTGGTCATAAACAAAAACAACAACAGATTTTCCAGGAATTGAGGAGGGGACAAAGATCGCCGCCCACTCATCATGCACAAGCAGACAGCCCGATAACAGCGGACAGACAGATCACCTGTTGCGCGGCACGCAAGCAACAAGCCGGGGCCGATTTCGCACAAGACTTCTCGACTCAAACTTCTTTCTGCAACAACGTGGGTGGCCGCTGGGCCGTGACAGAAATCGTCAAAGGCGCGAGGGAGAATCAACAAGCGTCGTACTCTCAAAACAAAGAATGAATTAAGCATCGCAGAGGCATCAGTTTTGGCGCGCTTTTTAAAATGTCCGTTTAAAGAGGCGCGCAAATCGCATGGGCAATTACAGATAATCCGAAAGCATCTCATTAATTTTTAATTTATATAAATAGTTGTCAAGTACGCAAAAAAGGGAAGTTCTCCCTCGGCTCACAACACACGAGCACCGAAAAGCAATACCAAGCGTCGCATGCCGATGTCCAGCCAACGCACCACCATCCCCGCCAACCACCACCGAAAAAAAAAACATAAACAAAAACTCACGCAAATTGTTTCGGTTGTGACTGCTGGGTTGATTGTTATTGTTGTTGATGTCTTCTCCGTCTTCGCAGCCGAAGCACGCCGCACTGTAGTGGCCGGTGTCGCGCACCATGTCTGCCGTACATGCTGACGGCTCTCGCTTGACCCTCGCGGGGGCGGCGGCGGGGGCGGCAGGGGCGGGCCCAGGCAGCACGGGGGTGGCGCCGGGGGCGGGGCTGGCGGCGGACAGGGAGGCGGCGACCGGGTGGTTGGACGGGTGGTGGTTGCCACTCGCAGTCGTCAGGTTCGTCCCCCGGTCGTTCATCGGACACACGACGACGGGCACCTCACGGTGGTAATCCAGAGCGGCACTAGGCTGGGGCTGCTCTACCCCATAGCACTGCACTAACACACTGGCACACGGCACACGGCGCACACACACACACCGCGCACCCACCTGCAGTCGGCGGCGGCGGGGGCGACAACGTGGGCGTCGGCGGCGAGCCTAGCAGCAGCACGTCGGACGGCGTCGTCCTGGACGGCGAGCCCAGCAGGCGGTAGTCCTCACTGTCCGTCTTGTCGTCCTGGGCGAACGAGAGGTGCGCGGCAGCAGCACCGCCGCTGTCCAGGGCGAGCAGTCGCACCGCGTGGTCGGCCCGGTGGAACAACATGCATGCGATGGCCAGGTCAGGCCCAACCAGGCCGCGAAGCGCGAACCAGGCGCGAACACCGCAAGGCACCGCAAGGGCCGAACCACTCCGTGCACTCCGTCGGGCTGGAGGACACGCCGCGGACTGAGAGGCTGCGCGGGACCGGGCGAGCGGCGCAGCGGCACGCCACGGCACGGCACGGCGGGGCCCGCTACGTCCCCACTACGCGGCGGCCGGGCTCAGCCAAGCAGACACAACACACAGTCATCGGCGAAGGTGGACGGCACTGCGGCACGACGGCACTCGGACACGGCGCGGAGCGGAGCGGCGGAGCAGCGCGCGGTCCTCGAGGACCTCGTCGGAAGTGGTGCGCGCGGAGACTGGAAGCCGGCGCCGCCACGCCGCGCCATTATAAAACGTGCGCCGTGGGGGTTGCGGCGGGGCGCCGGGCGCGGCGGCACCCCCCGAGCTCGGCGACGTCATGGATGTCGTCACGGGTCGATGGCGGCTGCGTCGCGGCGCGCCGCCCGTCCTCGTCGCACGCACCGCGGCCGCGCATGCCGACGGAGAGCCCCGAGGGGAAGCCGCCCCCGGACGCGGCCGCCGTCGGCGCAAGCGCGCACGCCATTGGTCGGAGGACGGCGACGTCATCGTCGGATGCGGTCATCGGTGTCGTCATGGAGGGCGGGCGGCGCGTGGGATGGGTCCGCGCCGCCGCGCCGCCGCGCCTGCATCCCCTCCAGGCCGGGGCACTCCGTGGGGTTGGCGGGGCTCCGGGTGCTGCGGGTGGCGGCGGGGCAGGAAGGCCGGAAGGGTGAAAGTAAGTTATGGTTGTCGCGCCCCGCCCGCCCGCCACGCCCCAGCCGCCACGCCCGCACTCGTGCACCCAGCCCTCCCCGATTAACATCCCATGCAGCCGATGCAGCACGCCAGCCATGGCGCCCGTTTGCCGCGAAGCGAGGCATCCGGCACCTTCTCCCTGCTTGCAGTGGCCCACCCCGGTCACCCACGACCATCGGTGGGACCTCAGGCGACAGGATATTCCAGCAAAATTTAATCAATAAAAAATACCAATGCTAATCGCATTGCAAGGTGTTCCCATTTTCAAAACTGGTTTAAAAGTAGGTTATGAAATACCAATAAAAAGGAGTTCTGATTTGGGAGCGGTATTGCAGCAAAGTTGTTCGAAACGGTGACAAATGTGTAGAAATCGTGGTTTGGCCTGACTTTAGGCAGCCACTGCATCTAAACTAAGGCGCCTAATCGTTCTCCCTCAACGGTTGGGTGTTCTTTGGGCCTTCCTTTAGAACACCTTTGTTACGGAGTGCGAGTGCTGTTTGTCAAACCACCCATTTAGCTGGTTACAGAATTGAGGAAAATATGACAACCAAGGGGATGCGTCGTACGATTCTCATTGCAATGCCCGTTGAACCGGAGGGAACAAGGGCCTACTGCAGGCAAAGGCTCGCCTGGTCGGCCAAGCAGTGCATCGTGGTGGTCAAGGCCGCGCGGACGGCACCGCCCGGACCGACCGTAACGCCGGCACCGCCAGCACACTGCAAGACTGCATACTTTACTGGAACACATTACCCTCCCCCTTCCGCCGATCCCTCTCCCGCGAAAAATGAAATTAAAAACAAAACAATCCTCTCTCGGGGCGCGATGGCCGTCGGCCGGCCTCAAATTCTGCCTGTCCGGCCGGATTAAGGCTTATGGCTGGCTCTCCATCAAAACGTCATCGCCCCGATAATTAATGATTGCACGCGTAATTCGCGTTACATCACGGTCATTGCGCGCAATTCATTAGCGCTTACAAGCGGGCGGGCCGCGCGCCGTCTCCGTCGCACCCCTTGGGCCCTTCGGCGCGGCCGCCGGAGCGAGAGAGACGGAGCGACCCGGGCAGCCCGCTCCGGCCCGCGCCGCCCCGCGCCTCTGACAGCGGCATTTGTAAGGCCGTATGCAGCGCTGGCTCGGCACTGCTGGCAGATAGAAAGAGAGAGACGAAAAGCCCAGTCCAGACGGAAATGCATGTCGCGATGCAGGACGACGACAGACTGGGGTGAGCGAGAGGACACATGTTCGAAGAGGACTCTTTGTCGTGAAAGATGCATGGACGCCACACGGGAGCATACGCATCCCACAATCTTACAAACTACCAATGCCAAAATGCAACAAGTGCGTCTTCGAGGCGCTTCCTTCCAGCTGCAGCCGAAGCCTCGGCCAAAGCGGACGTCCTCCCCGACGTGGCTCCGTGCGGTTCGGTTCGGCCGATGGAATGGCATCGAATGGAGCCATTCGGCCGAGCCACCGCCACCGCTCGGCGGGCGAAACCAAACGCTGTCGCGGAGTCGGGCAGAGCACTGCCAGCCTTTCCCCATTCTTCTTGCTCTCCGTGTCCCTCTCCGTCTGCCTCGCCGGGTGCCGGTTGGTGCCGGTGATGGCCGCGGGGCGCCGCAACGCGAGGGGCAACGCGAGGCAACGCGGAGCCCTCGCGAAGCAACGCGAAAAAGAAACACCAAATTACGAGCCATTGTTGCTAATGTCGGTTTACAGCCGATGAGCTGTAATCTTACACCAAGGCCGCTGTAAGGCCTGGCCTCCGCACTAAAGCCCTAAAGCCGGTCTATAAGTGGACCGGGAGGCGTCAGGGAGCCGCGCTGCAATTTGGCCGCCCCTTACCGGTGTGGTGGCGGCCTGGCAGCGCGGCGGCGCGGCCAGTGGTGTGCACAGTGGGCCAGAAGACCGGCGCAGTCGGCCGAAGCTATATACGCGTTTCGAGCTGCAGAGTCGCTAAATGGGGCTCGAACCGAACGCGTGACCCCACCAATGTATTCCTCGTCCGGAGAGCAATCCATTGGTAGGGTCACACGTTCGGTTCGAGTCCCATTTAGTGACTCTGGCGCTCAAAACGCGTCTAGAATTTTTGCCGCCCCCACCGATCCTCTGGCCCACTGTGCGGCGGCGCGGTCGGCGCGATGGCCAGACGAACAACGGCGGCGGCGCCTTAAATCAGCAAGGCCGGGGAAAGCGCCCGGCCGGAACACGAACCGAACGCCGACTTTCAATAATACGCATCAATCCCGCAGTGTGCGCGTTGCTGCCGCCGCTGCCGCCATTGGTCGAAGCAGCGCGTTTCAAAGTGACGCGCGGGAAAGACGAGGCGGGCCATTAAAACTGGATGCGGCGCGCTCCGCTCCGTTTTTCGCGTCCGTTTTCAAAAGAGGAGCGTAAAATATTGGGGCGGGAAGACCATCTTTTTTTGTTCGGACCGGCCGGAGTGTCCAGCGGGGTCAACAACTCGGAATATTCGATACGATCGACTCTTCTCTGCGCGAGTTTCCAGTGGGCACCGCTTCGCAGCCACTGCATTATTAGTGGCGTGAAAAGTGGAGGAAAAACGAAAAAAAAAGCCGAACGAACGGAGAGTGAAGGAGAAAGAAGGCGAACTTCGGTGTCGGTGTCTGGTGTCCAGCCAGGCAGAGAGACGACCTGGCGACGATGGCGCAGGAAAAATAATAAAAACACAAAGATCTTGGGGAAACTCTTGTGCTTTAAGTTACGCACGGGGTGGTCTGTGCGGACGCCGCGCCAGGTAGGTAGTCCCGGCGACGCCGCTGCATCCGGGTTGCCTGCCGCGCAGGCGCTCCAGCTGGCCGCCGCCGCCGCCGACAGTACCATACACTGCGAAAAAACAGTCAAACAAAGCAACAATCGCTGCGAAAAATAAAGCCGCCGTGTTTGGAGCGGGAGGAAGGGACGTCCCCACCGTTCACCGTACACGGGGCCGGTGGTGTGATAAGTCAGAAATGGCGAGGCACACTTTGTTGGCGCCAAAACCGAAAGACCGCTGCAGCAGTCACCTCACAAATTAGCTCTTGTGCCTGGGGCAGCATGGGGCAGGCTGGGGCAGGCTGGGGCTCGGCTGGCTGCGGAGCGGCGCGAGGGAGGGGGAGGGGGAATGACTTGGGACATCGCTCCACCATCAGTGCCGCTCCGCACGCGAACACAGCGCAACACCGCGGCCAATCCTCGGCCAGGAAGAGCGGCGCAGCGGCGCGGCGGCGCAGCGGGAGGAGGAGGCAGTAGTTCCCACACGTGGGAAAGTGCGCCGGCACTGCTGGCACCGCCAGGCCGTGCGTACCTAGTTCCCCCGCCAGTTCCCCTCCGTTCCCTTCGTTCCCCTGCTTCCAGCCGCTATTGGTTCCTGCTGGACGAGACGAACTGTGGTGGTGCTCTGGTCGTCTGGACGTGATTTCAGTTCGAGCAGCCTCGTCGCTCTGTCTCTCTCGCACCCTTACGGTACGCTCAACGAGTGCGAGAAAGGGTAACAGTAGCCGAGCATTTTTGCAGACACGTGTACTGCGCCGGGCGAACCCCAGTGGCGGGGACGACTCTCCGATCCCTTGGCTCCGCCGCGGCGGTCCAGTCGGTCCAGTCCCAGAGCCTCACGCTGTGTGGCACGTTGCAGATGCAGGTGCTTAGCGGGGCCGGTACCGCACCGCGCGGGGCGGGGCGGGGCGGGGCGCGCCGGGCACGAGACATGCAACGTACCAAAGACCTGATAATCCAGCACGTTCGTAAATCACGCGAAGATCGAGGGAGACCCGACGCACAGGGGCACAGTGTGGGCGTGTGTGAGTGTGCCGTGGTACGGAGTAGGGAGGAAGGTGATGGAAAGGTTGTAGCTTTTCCCCATAATGCGACGTGAGGCAAGCGCTGTGTGCACAGCTTTCCATGACGCATGACGTCGGGGCGTCGGTCTGTCTCCCTCGCACTCATGGGACGTCCCTTGTGGGTGCGAGAGAGACGCAGACAGGCCACAGGGCTGGCGCGGCGCGCGGCCCAGGCGGAGCGGACGGCACTGGACGGCACCAGACGGCACCCCATGCCAACTCGCTGCATGCGGCTAGGCTCCGTGCCGGTCTAGGCGGTCTCGGCGAGCCAGGCGAGCCAGGACGGGTCGCGACAAGCGGCGTTAATCTCTCGATGCACCGGCCGGCCGGCTTAGCCAGTGGCTGGGT